CAAACTCCATTATCAAGTTTTGTGAGCTATTATTTCACATTTATTTTATTTATCACAAATTTGATTATAAAAAATTTTGCATAATTTCTCAACAATTGGTATCAGAGCTTTGGTGGTGATTGCTATCAATTCTAAAAAAAATAGAAAAGATCCAGAAAGAGTCATATTTGAGTGAGAGAAATGGTTGCAGATGAAGGAAATGTGAAAATTGAGAAGTTCAATGGTGCGAACTTTGACTTTTGGAAGATGCAGATCGAAGATTCTCTATATTAGAGAAAGTTGTATCAACCTCTCTCAAGAAAACAACTAGAGGGCATGAAGGAAGAAGATTAGGCTCTTCTCGACAGACAAGCCCTTGGAGTTATCTAATTGACGTTATCCCGCAATGTTGCTTTCAATATTGCAAAATAAAAGATCACGCCTGGTCTTATGGCGGCTCTTTTTAATATGTATGAAAAGCCATTAGCCTTAAATAAAGTTCATTTGATGAGGCGGTTGTTTAATTTGCAAATGGCAGAAGGCGCATTGGTAGCGCAACATCTGAATGAACTCAATATAGTCACAACCCAATTAAGTTCAGTTGGAATCGAATTCGACGAAAAAGTACAAGCATTGATACTTTTGTCTTATCTACCGGAAAGTTGGAAGGCTACTGTCACAGCTGTGAGTCTCATTGGGAAGCAATAAGTTAAAATTCAATGATGTTCGTGATATGGTTCTTAGTGAAGAGATTCGATGAAGAGAGTCGGGGGAATCTTCAACGTCTTCAGTTTTGCATACAGAGTAAAAAGGAAGAAATTTAACCAGCGGCAATGGACGTGGTAAATCCAAGAAAAGGAGGTTGAGGTCCAAGAATCATCGTATTTTCCATAACTCAAAGACATTGAGTGTTAAAATTGTGGAAAGATTGGAACTACAAAAATCAGTGCAAGAGTCCACTGAAGAATCAAGAGGTAAAGATAGAGGCAAATGTTGCTTCTACCTCGGGAGGAGATGATGCCTTGATATGTTCTTTATAGAATAAAGAAGAGTCTCGGGTGTTAGACTCTAGAGCATCCTTTCATGCCACTTCATAGAAAGAAATCTTTGAGAATTATGTTCCCGGAAATCTTGATAAAGCTTACCTTGGTAATGAACAATCTTGTTAGATTGTTGGTAAGGGTGTAGTGAAGATTAAGTTAAGTGATTCTATGTTGGAATTGAAAAATGTTAGACATATTCCTAACTTGACAATGAACTTAATCTTAGTAGGCCAGTTGGCTAGTGATGGCTACACAATAGTCTTCCATGGTGATCATTGCAAGATTTCAAAGGGTGCAATGACAATTGCTCATGGTAAAAAAAGTGGGGTTGCAGGAGCATGTCATTTGATTGCAGTTGCAACAAATGAAAATCCTAATCCATGGCACTAAAGATTAGGCCATATAAGTGAGAAAGGGATGAAGATCATGCACTCAAAAGATAAACTACCAGATCTTCAATCAGTAGAAATTGACATGTGCGAAGACTATATACTTGGAAAGTAGAAATGAGTTACTTTTAGACAAGTGGAAGAACCCCAAAGAAAGAGAGACTTGAGCTTGTTCACTCTGATGCTTCGAATCCAACGATAATCTCATCCGTTGGTGGAAAATAATATTTCATGACTTTTATTGATGATCACTCTAGGAAGGTATGGATATATTTTTTGAAACATAAGTTTGAAATATTTGAGGCTTTCAAGATTTGGAAAGCCATGGTAGAAAATGAGACAGGATTAAAGATCAAAATGCTTAGAATTGACAATGGTGGTGAATATGTTGACATTAGATTTAAGAACTTTTGCTGTGAGCACGGGATTAGAATGGAGAGGACCATGTTGGGTACGCCTCAACACAATGGTGTAGTTGAGCGTATGAATTGAACATGGACTGAAAGAGCTAGAAGGTTGCGTACGTAGTCAGGCTTACCAAAGCAGTTATGGTAGAAGCAGTCAATTCAACAACTTACTTAATCAATCGAGGTCCATCGGTACCATTGGATCACAAAATGCCAGAAGAGGTATGGAATGGAAAAGACGTAAAACTCTCACATCTTAGAGTTTTGGTTGTGTAGCATATGTGCACATTAGTTATCAAGGTAGGAATAAACTTGATCCTAAATTGAAGAATTACACTTTCATTGGTTATGGTGAGGATGAGTTTGGCTATCGTCTATGGGATAATGAAAACAAAAAGATGATTCGTAGTAGAGATGTGATCTCCAATGAAAGAGTGGTGTATAAGGACAAAGACAACACATACACTAGCAATTCAGAACAGCGTGGGCTAGTGTATGCAGATGTGGATGATGTCCAAAAAACTTCTATAATTGATACTCCTTATTTAGAGGAATCAATTGACACACCAAAGCCTTCAACTCCAGCTCCTATTTTTAGAAGGTCTTCTACATGTGCCTATCAGGAAATACCTTAATTATACATTGTTAACTGATGAAGGGGAGCCAGAAAACTACGAGGAAGCATGTCAAACTATAGATGCTAGTAACTGGGAGCTTTCCATGAAAGATGAGATGAAGTTCATAGTGTCCAATTAGACATGGGAACTTGTAGAGTTACCTATTGGAAAAAAGGCACTTCACAACAAATGGGTGTATTGGGTGAAGGAGGATCATGACGGCTCCAAGAGATACAAAGCCCGACTAGCTTTCAAAGGATTCCAGCAAAAGGAAGGTATTCACTACATTGAGATATTTGCTCAAGTTGTGAAGCTCAATACTATCAGGTCAGTCTTAAGTATCGTTTCTAGTGAAGGGCTCTACCTTGAGCAATTAGATGTGAAGACTACATTTCTTCATAGAGACTTAGATGAGAAAATTTACATGCATCAACCTGAAGGTTTCTCAGAAGAAGGGAAAAAGAATATGGTGTGTAGATTAACGAAAAGCTTGTATGGTTTGAAACAAGCTCCAAGATAATGGTACAATAAATTTGAAGGCTTTATGAACAAGAAGGTTTCTAGAAGCACAATGCCAATCACTGTTGTTTCTTCAAGAGATATAAGTCCATTTATATCATTTTGCTACTTTATTTCAATGATATGTTAGTAGCATGTTTAGATATGGATGAGATCAAAAGTTTGAAACAACAATTGTCAAAAGAATTTGATATGAAGGACTTGGGTCCAACAAAAATGATCCTTGGAATGCAAATCACGAGGGATAAGAAAAGAGGTATTTTGCAGTTATCTCAGGTAGAGTACATCAACTATATTTTGCAAAGATTCAACATGGGCAACGCCAAACCGGTTAGCACACCTTTGGCTAGTCATTTTTTCTACCGAGAGATCAGTCCCCTCAGATGGAGGAAGAAAAAGAGTTCATAGCTAAGATTTCGTATGCTTCAACCATCGAAAGTTTGATGCACGCAATGGTCTATAAAAGACCAAACATTGGCCATGCAGTGGGAGTTGTTAGTAGGTTTATGTTGAATCCAAGTAAAGCTCATTGGAAAGCAGTCAAGGGGATTTTGAGGTATCTACGAGGCACTATAGAGAAGTTTTTGTACTTTAGTAAAGGAGAATTAAAAGTACAAGGCTACATAGATTCAAAATTTGGAGGTGAAGTCGATCACCGAAGAAGTACCACTGGTTACATTTTCACTGTTAGTACTACAACTATTAATTAGATGTCACAGATATAGAAGATTGTTGCTTTATTCACTATAGAGGCTAAGTATGTAGTAGTAACAGAAGCCAGTCAAGAATTATTAACAGAATTGGGATTCATTCAGCACAACTTCAATTGGCTTGCTAAAATAACAAACAAGATAAGGTTGCTGCATTGATCGAGATGTGAAAAAAAAATTGAAATTAGTCTTCAAGTGGGAAATTCTCCCCGCTCTCTTTCAATTTATTTTTTATATATTGATTTATCATTCATTAGATTTAGACCTATCACCTAACTAGCTTACCTTTTTATTTGTTTGCAGGAAACAAGAATGGGCTTCTCTTGCCCCATATCACCATAGACCAAGGTGATTCTTATTATCAAGATGTTTGTTTTTATTTATAGTATTGTTTGATGCGATTTTATGGTCATGCATTATTGCCTGTCAAAACATATTGTTATTGATCATCAAGTACTCTAACTGCTCTTTTAAATAACATTGTCGAACTAATCTAACCCCAATTTTCTGGTGTTGTAAATGGTAAAATTATCTGTGTACAAGATGTATATGCATTTAGTTGACAAAGGAAAAAGCCAGTTAGTACGAGGTTCTGTGTCAATATTTGACACTACCATATATAGTATCTTCTTGTTTTGTAATTGGAGTAAGGTTGATCAAAGGTTGGTGCTGTGAACTGTACTTTTTGATTTTGGTGTGTCATGGGCTCATAGATGGTTGGATTCCAAAGTTAATTTTATAAAATGGTCACAATTTTAATTTGTTGAAAAAGACTTCTTGGTAGTAATGTATTTTACGGTGCTATAAATGTGATCATGTTCATCTTTTGCCTCCTCCACAACAATTTGAAGGCAAGTTTTAAGTGGTGAGGAAATAGAAGCTATTCATTCATTCATGATTCATGCAAGGGGACTCTTAGAATGTTTGTTGGTATTTGAACAATGATGTTGACTGCTGTTAGCATTGACGAGATCGTGAAAAATTGTATTTATGACTAACCATTTCTGTGGCTTCCACATAAAAATTTAGTCACCAAATTATATTCCCTGCTTTTATGTTGATTGACTAGAAACTTATTCCGCTGTCAAAATATTCTGAAAACTTTTGTTTGGCTTCCTGCAAGCATTTGCAATCTTTAACGACACCCTGGGTTGAGCCCTTTCAACATTTTTTCATTCTTTTGCTGGGGTTTGATCAGCTTATTTGTAGTAGTATGAATAAGTCGTTTATGATAATCTATGGGTGTTATTTTCCTCTTTTGTGGCATATATATATTGTTTCTACTTTGTTGGTTATACTCATCACCTATTGTGATTTTGTACTGACTTTTGGACTTATGGTACTTGATCCTTTTGCCATTGCTATTGCTGAAGAGCTTCAACATTTGAGAAATAGTCTACCTGATCAAGTTCTTGTTCAGCTTATTGATGAAAGATTAACTGCTTTGGAAAATTGTATAGCATGTAATGACCATGTGGCCTTGACACGCATTGATCTTGACAAGGTATTGTATTATTATAGATTATAGACTTTTCATTCATATGCTTATCTCTTATACTTATTTAGGATAGGAATTTGATTTGGAGAGACACATATTTTCATGTAAACATGTATGCTGAATAAAGACAATATGACATGCCTAACCTGTCAAATACCCAGTGCTTGTCATTCTGAATCTGATCATTTAAATTTTTGAATTTGACTCCTCTAAATTTAAAGTATCATGTAAACTTAAGCCACTTTAAATAAGGGAGGATATATCCCTGCATTCTAACTTCACAAACTTTCCACTTTATAGGAGTTACCTAATTTTTAGGTTATGACCTCAGCTCATGAAATATTGAAAGTTGTAGATAGTTTTTTTTGAAAGGTGTAGACTAGGTAATTTGACCACTCTAACCATGTGACGTGTAAAAGTCATTTTTATATAAACATAGATTTGGGTTCAGGATTATGTATCCAAGTACTTCAGCCTTTATCAGAAAAGAAAAATAAACTTGTATGAATAGATAGTTAACCTTCTGGCCTTTTTTTGTTAGCATTTCAAGATTATATAGACAGATAGGGTTACTAATGCTGGTTTTCTGAATGAAACAATTCCTTAAATTATAACGGAAAATGATTCTCTTGTAAAGGCCCTTACATCAAGGCTACTATTTGCCCATCAAAACTGTTCCCTTGTTGTGATCCGTTTATGTCTCATGAATCATGATAGTTTTTATTAGCACATTGGCTTTTGTCCCCACCCACCCCTAAGGAAAACTTCTGTTGTTTTTTGGATAATGATTCTTGTCCTGATTTAGTATTATTATTCACTGAAATTTTTGTTCAAGACACTGAGGATATGATTGCAGATGTTCTTAAAGTAGAAGTTTTCAGGCAGAGTATTGCCTCTAATATCATTGTAGGCAGTTACTGTACATTTTCCAACAGAGGTGGATTGGTAAGCATAAGACATGTCCTCTTGAATATCCTAACTTTAAAATATATGTAGTATCTTGTGAGCATACATGCACTTTGTGCAGGTTCACCCTCATACATCCATTGAAGAATTGGAGGAACTTTCTACACTTCTTGATGTTACTTTGGTCGCTGGGACTGTCAATCGTGACAGTGAATTACTAGTTGCTGGCATGACAATAAATGATTGGATAGCATTTTGTGGTTCAGACACTACAGCTACAGAACTCTTTGTGATTGAGAGTATCTTCAAGCTGAGAGAAGTCCAATCCAGTGTCACTATGCATGAGATGAGGAAATCATTCTTTGATAGCTTTCTCTAATTTTTTTTATAGAATTAATTATAATTAAAAATTCATTTTGAAGTAAGATGATTTTGTTTGAACTTGAAGAAACATAGGCTAACTTATAGATGTGTTCTTATTTTTTTAGCTTCAGTTAATCTTTTATCATCTAAAAAAATAAATTTAGTTGTGTTTTAAAAGTGAACCAAATTTGTCCTTTCCGTCATTTATCTAACAGTGAACCTTAAAATAATCCTAGTTGGCTGATAAGTGTACACGTGGACTCTAATATTTTTCCAAATTGCTTTCATTTATTTATTTTAATCTTTTTTACTGTTGTGCTAGTCGAGACCTCACTATTTATTTATTTATTTATTTTACCCCCTTTTACTTGCTTTTTCCCAATTTCGTCTTTGTACCTTATGATTACCAACTACTTTTGCGTGTGAAAATATTAGGGTGTGGCGCGTTACAGAAAATATTTTTTATTTTTATTTTCTGTTTTCATTTTTATAAAATATTTTTTGAAAAATATTTAAAATTTGAAAAATATTTGGTTTAATTATTTTAAATAAAAATTCATAAAATATAACAATATTTGAAAATATTATGTAATTGTACTTAAATAATATTTTATTTTTGTAACATATTATCAAATGTATAATTTATATTAAAGATTTTTAATAATATTTTTACATTAATTAGGCAATATTTTTTAAATGCTACCAAAGTAGTATTTTTGTAACATTTGTATCTATAGATAAAGGTATTTTTTTGTTATTGTTTACACAAATTTTGGATTGTTTTATTCTTAAATTTTGGAATCTTAAAAATCAACTATTTTTACAAATTTAAGATTCAAACTTGACATCTTGAGGTTTGAAGATTAGGTATAACACTTAAACACCTTTAAGCAAATATAGAAACATGGAGTGTCTCGACTTCATTAATACTGTCTTGGTCTCCATATTTGGTAACTGTTATACCCTTCTAATACTAAAAAATAAAAATAAAAAATTAATATATTTATATGTTTCAAGCCTTGAACTTAAGATCTTCAAACTTGAGGACTAACCGTAGTTCTAGTTGAACCATCAAACATGAGTTACTTATTTAATTATTACATGACTTCACTAGTTTTAATAATGTTGCTAAATTGTAGTTAACTTAATCAAATAATAATTGATATTAATATGGATGTACTCACTTATATTTTATGATAGCTAACTTCTATAATTCTTTAGAGTTAAAGACATCTTTAGTTAATTACCACTAAATCTATATCAAGTATCAAAGTTCATTTAATTTAAGTGTAACACCCTGTTTTCTAAGATAATAATATTATTATATTATATTTTAGTCTGAATTATTTTTATTCTTATAGGGGGGAAAAGTATTTTATATTATTTATATATTCATTTATTTTCGAGAAAGAGAAGCGGGTCATGTTGACCCGGTCCAGGGGAATATTAAGAAAGGGGATAGACAGAGTTAACTATCTATCTCATTTTACATTCGGAAGGGTTAGAGAGAAAGAAAATAGAAGAAGGAAGCTCTAAGGAGGAGTGCTCATGATCAATTTCAAATTGCATCCGAATTGTTTTTATTAATGCAACAAGGTACGAGGGGAAAAGGAATGATTCATATGTGGGATTACGAGAGGGAATGGGTATTGCGATAAGTCCCTCAAATCTTAGGATTTTTCTATTTCATTTCTATATATGAATTTGATGATCCAATTAAATTCTATGTGGATGTATGTTTGTGTTTCTATTGTTTGTTAAAATTTGGTGATTTGGAAGAAGATTGAACCCTTTTGAAATGTGTCTATGGGTTAGGGTTCATGAGGGATTGGGATGTAGTCAATTGAAGTATGATTTCGTGAAATTGATGTTGTGTAATGTGTTTTCTTGAGATAATAATGGTTTTTGGCCGATTGGATTAGAAAAATGATGGTTGTATGATGAATTATGGATTTTGGGATGATATGTTCATATTTTGGTTTTCTGGAAATCGTGTTGGCATCGGGCTTGAGTACTTCGCATCGAGATCACATTCATATTGATGAATGTGAAGCTCAGAAGGAGTTGTACTCAGCCTGGAATGTTTCATGCCGAGCGTGATTACTTTGGGGTAGTCTTTTCCAAGCTCAGCATTGGGCGTAACTTCCTAACGTCTACTGCGAGAGAGACCAGGAGCTCTTGGGTTGCTCTTAGCATCGGGTGAAATAGAAATTTCGTTGGGTGTGGATTTGTGATGTGTTGCAAAGGTAAATGTGAATGTGTGATGTCCTTGATGGCTGTTGTATGAATTAATTTAATGGTGTGTATGTAGGTGAGAATATTAGAGTACGAATGGTTTGTATGTGGATGAACGATATATAAATGTGGTTTTATGCGAATTATTGATGATTGTGCATTAGCATGAATGAAGATGAGGAATGGATTTGGTAACATTAGCATGAGAATTGGTGCATGCGCATATGCATTACCTTGGCCTATGTGGTGATTAACATTGTATGCATGCGTGATGGTGCCTAATGAGGTTGATAAACTTTGCCCATCGTGCGACGCTCTGAGTCAATGCTTCATAGGTGGTTGTATTACATGAGCATTGGTGTGAGCATGATCATGATGAATAGCTATGTTGTAATGTGGTAGTTGTTAGAAAAGAATGGCACAATCCAAGAGGGGGGGGGGAAGTGGCTAGGCTTAGAGCTTGACCAACACCTAGGGTGTCTATTTTATATTTTCATGATGTTAGCTTTTTGGATTATTGTATAATCTTACTGAGGATGATGACTCTGTTATGACAATATGTTATATTTTAGAAACAATTTATATGTTATAGTACATTTACACTCTAGCGTAGCTGACCCTTGCTTTATTTTCTTTATTATATATTATTTTATTTTGGTTGGTTCTGGATGTGATGGCCTGGGGTGGGTCGTTACAATTCCTATTTATGCCCCGATGTCACATGTCCTATCAGAGCAAATCCCAACGTTCATGGAAAATATACAGTTGGATTACGTCGTCACGTAACCCTGGTGATCGGGGCCACTTCATCCATCGGTATGACTCGGCCTTGCCCCCATACCGGTAGCAAATAGAATACTTAGAGGAGTACTTCAAAATCCACCTAACATCTGAAGTGGTTTATTATATAACCTTTGGAAAAGTTCCATATTGGAATCCTCACCATAGGATTCCCAAATTCCATATTTTTCCCAAAGATTATATCCTGATCTCACCAAGAGATCTAATCCATACCATAACCTTAGTTAATGAAATATCTATTTTAATGATATTTTATTATACTATGGTTGGTTTTATACGTGCTAACCCTTATATTTCCATGATGTGGACTGTGATGATCTCACTATGTGGGGGAGCAGATCAGGTGTGATACTTTGAGATAGCAAGGAGTCTTTTGGATAGATGCTTTGAGAAGTGGCTAGGCTTAGAGCTTGACGAACACCTAGAGTGTCTATTTTATATTTTCATGATGTTAGCTTTTTGGATTATTGTATAATCTTACTGAGGATGATGACTCTGTTATGACAATATGTTATATTTTAGAAACAATTTATATGTTATAGTACATTTACACTCTAGCGTAGCTGACCCTTGCTTTATTTTCTTTATTATATATTATTTTATTTTGGTTGGTTCTGGATGTGATGGCCTGGGGTGGGTCGTTACAATTCCTATTTATGCCCCGATGTCACATGTCCTATCAGAGCAAATCCCAACGTAGAAGCCTAAGTTTCATCACCAACATCCTCAGCCTCATGCTGATAATAACCTGTATGACAGTTAGAGAAAACAACACAAGAGAAAAGGGAGAGAGAAACATCTCACTCTGGCTCACAGTGTAAAAATAAACACCGGATAGCCAAACACAAATAAGACGGGTATAGCATAGATATATTAACAACAACATTACATCTCACTCATCCAAGACATGAAAATATCAATTTATCATATAACATTAAAAATGCACATGTATGGACATAGACTACATATTATCATGCATGTGGCGCTAGTAAAACATCACATGGCATATTGCCGCTAGCAATACACGAAGAGTAGTCTAGGAGTACATGTCGGGTCACACCCTCTGCGCACTTTCACTAGAAGGACATACTACCAGAGTCTCGTTGGTATAGCTAAGCCGCGCAAGATACATCCCATGCACACCTAATCTTACTGAGGATGATGACTCTGTTATGACAATATGTTATATTTTAGAAACAATTTATATGTTATAGTACATTTACACTCTAGCGTAGCTGACCCTTGCTTTATTTTCTTTATTATATATTATTTTATTTTGGTTGGTTCTGGATGTGATGGCCTGGGGTGGGTCGTTACAATTCCTATTTATGCCCCGATGTCACATGTCCTATCAGAGCAAATCAAACTGTGCCGAAGGCTCCTATTTATAGGAATCAAAAGGGGACCAGAACGGCCTGTTCCGGATTCGGAACGGCCCGTTCTGGGCTAATCCGTTATGGGTAAAATAAGACACTGGAACGGCCTGTTCCAAAAGTGGAACGGCCCGTTCTGGTTTCGAATTTTACTTACACAAAGTTGTTCTGGAACAGCCCGTTCCAAACTAGGGGAACGACCCGTTCTAGTTTTAGAACGGCCCGTTCCGGGCAAGTTTATTATAAGTAAAATAAGAACATGGAACGGCCCGTTCCAAAAGCGGAACAGCCCGTTCTGGGTTCAAATCTTGCATATATCAACTTGTTTTGGAACGGCCCGTTCCGTTTTGGGAACAGCCCGTTCTGGTCTTGGAACAGCCCGTTCTGGGCTGTCATCTCTTATTGTTTCCATGCTTCAGGAACTCCTTCACAACGGAGGTCAATTTCCTTGTTTGTGTGCCCCCGGACGAAATTGGGTGTCTACAGCTGCCCCTTTTTACTTGTCCTTTGGAGTAGCTATGTGTTGCTTTTCCAAAGGCAAGTGAAGACGTAGACATTTCATCCGGGTCTCCTCCTCGTCTCTTTCGTGTTGGCGCTTCTATGTTCCTTCTCTTGGATAGGTGTATTTGCTCGTGTCTTCGCCCTTTAGAGCAGTTGAGTGTTGGTTGCATACTCTGTTAGGTAACAAGGCTAACGAACTGTACACCTGATCTTCGATCTTCAAGTAGATGCTCCATTGTTTCTCTTGTGATAGTGCGTTCCT